GTCTGGATTCCATCCTAGCCAGGACGGAGTGGAGGACGTCTGTTGTAGCCTTTTGTATTAATGAAGTTACTGGCTCCTTGTGTGTCTCCAGGTAACTCTGCTTAACTAAACAGCGAAGCCATATTCTCTAAATTCACTGTTGAATGCCTGTCCCAGGCCAAACTGTCTGTCTGCTCTTATTTTTGTACCATATTGCTCTTAAAAATCTTGGTTTGGTACAATTCATAATTCACCAAAACTTCTTCATATAATTAAAACACTAAATTAGTTTAAAATGAAGCAATTTATATCTTTATGCAAAAACATGTCTGTCTTTGCAAAGGACTGTAAGCAGATTACAATAAATCCTTTCCTTTAGTCGCCTGTTGTCCTACAAACTGTTCATTTGCATGCCTAGAGATCCGTCTGACTTCATGCCTGTGTACCTTCTGGTCCTGCACTTCAGCCCGCAGCCAACAATGGAGCCACTGGAGTTTTTTGAGTCTAGAAAGAGCCCGGTTCGCTGGCACATGATCAGCTGTCTCTTCGGGCAGAGTCATTGTGGTTCTGTGGCTAATTTGTAGTTTCCTACCCTCTTCCGTACCCGCACCTCACATAGCTGTGTGGACACATAAGCATGGCCTGTCCCTCTTCACCCACAACGCCAGCTGTAGCCAGAGTTCTTCCTCCATGTGGTCTTGCTTTCTCCCTCGGGTACCTGCAAACCCTGATGGTTATCCACCCTTTGTGGAACTCCCCGCTGGACACTCATAAACACAGAAAACAAAAATCCAATTACCAGTTCATTTTAAAATAGGAAACATTTCTTCACAGGTAAATTAAAGCAATGTGTCATTTAATGGGTGAGTGTTGATTGGCTTTCAGAAAGAGCAGCCTGGGTGAGAGACAAGTTTAACATTGCTTAAGCAAACAGATAAAATTCTAGAACACAGTGTGGCCACTAACCACAGCCCAGGAGAAAAGTTGTATGTCATGGGGTGGGTGGTAAAAACATCTGGAAGTGAAAGCAAACCTACATGCAAACACTAAGAAACCTGACCTGTTGAAGGAGCAGAGCCTTCCGTGGCCTCAGATGTGAAACGAAAGCCATCTTGCCTGCCAAGAGGTCCTCCCATGAGCACCGTTGAGGAAGCAGGTGGCCTTCAGAGCTCAGAAAGCTTCGTCTTGGGCCAACTGCGTCTTCATTTTGCTTTTAAGGACTTCACAAAGCAACTCTTGGGCCGAGAGAATCCAGTTTCCCCTTTAGCAATCACGAGCTGAGAAGTGCCAGGGCAGCCAGCTACTACTATGTGCCACGGCACTAGCTCCGTGCAGTGTGTCGCATACAGAACAAGGGGATTACTACGTGTGTCTGTCGAATGCACCTGAAGCCAAGTGTGGACGCTTCTCACAGAAGCTCTAGCATGCCTTTTGATGAATGACAAAGGTGCCTGCAGATGAAGACGATCCAGGTATATCTAACACTTTCTGCTCCAGCCACCCAGTCTTAGTGCAGCAGTTTTCCTGGAAACAGAACAGTGGTTTCCCAAGCAGCAGTACACAGAAGGGCACCAAGATAGGACCCTGACGTTTGGCATGACCCAAGGCTGTGCAAAGCCAAGTGAAGCACAGGGCAGAATTACTGCATGGCAGAGCAGTCCAGTGGTTTGCCAGTCTCTCTCCAGAGTCTGTGAACTGCCCAGGGAGTCTGCTGATTAGGATTAGACTGTGTGGGGTTCGTTCATGCATCTGTGCTTAGACTATGATAGCTTTGCTACAGAAAACTGCTCGGCGCTCAGCAAAGCTCAGAGACATGGTGCAGAAGGCTAATGCTTTCCAGGCCTCGGTCCTTCACACTTGCTTCTGTCCCATGGACATGGACTGAGATCTAGGGTCAAGGCCACAGTCAAACTGGAAGAGCCAAAAGAGTCTGGTTCTCATAAGGGGAAAGACTACATCACTACACCCTTGGCTATTCAGACACTGCAGAATGTATGTTACAAAGACTGGCTTCCGAGTTCCTCCCGGCTCAACAAAACCTATTTCTGTGGCTTCAGGGAGTGTTACTCATGCCCTGACGAGCTAGACTCAGCACCCTGCCCTCACTCCACTCTGCAGCCATTTTCACGGACACTAACTTTCCAAGGAAGAAGTCCACAGGCCAGCATGTGGCACGGAGCTGTCCATCTTCATCGCACACATACGCACTGCCCACGCTCGATGTGCAGGTCTCTTGTTGGACAATCATCAGCCACACTCATCTTTGATTAGACAGATCCAAGCAAGTGAATGAAAGACTTTTACCCAGACGTTTAGCATTGGGAGAAAAGCTGTGTTCCCCAAATGTGGAGCAGTGAATCACTGCTTAGCAGAGCGAAGGAAAAGTGAGCCGACAGCCATCCGATATGACACTTGCGGGCGCAGAGATAGCACCCTCAGAGAGGAGCGCAGAAGCTGTGCGGCTGAAGAAGATCCAAGGTGTCACGGAAACATCTGGCAGAGGCTGGCTCTGAGAGACTTGAGAGAAGCCGAGGTGAGAATGCACTCAGCACGAGGCGGGCGGGAAGTGAGCACAAGCTAGGATTAGAGAGGCAGAGGGACCTTGGGAAAGGTATGGGCATCACGGCGACTGGCAGAGAACAAGGGCAAAGAATGGCCTTTGTATAAGACGGCAGAGAGGAGCGTGGCTGGCTGTGTTAGCACTGTCCCTGCTGGCAGCGTATTTGATAGTATCAACATTTAAAAGAGAAGGTTGGCCTAAGGCTCAGTTCCCACAGCTTCAGTCTGGTTAGTCAGCTCTGGTTGGGGGGCCTGTGGAAGGGTCTGACATCACAGCAGAACACAGCAGAGAGCATGAAGCAATGTAAAGCTCTTCACCCCATGACAACCAGCATGTAAGGAGCTTTGGGGCATACGTGGGCTGTCTGATAGGTGCCACCACCTCCCACTAAGGCCCTCAACTGGGGACCACACCTTCAACACATGGAGCTTTGACAGACTCACAAGATCCGAATCAGGACGGTGGCTAAGAGATGCGAAGCCGCCAGAGAACCTCTGCTTCCTCCTCTCCACTTACTAATGCTTCCTGATGAGCACGTGCACCACGGGATTTAGTCACTAAAAGTCCCAATGGCACTGGATTTCTCCATTTCCCAGGTGGATACCCATGCATGAAGCGTCCTGCAGGGCCTCGGTACAAACAAAGGCTGAAGATCTAGTCCTAGTGCTGTGGCTGATGCTGCAGGATGTGAGAGATGCAGCCAAGTCCAGAGTGAGTGCATGTGCCGGCAGCCAGCCTCCTGGAGACGTTCCCAGGACAGCCACACCCACCTAAACAAACCCACCTCTTCTCAGGAGATGGAAATGATCACCGGGTGTAACCATACACCCCTGCACCCACTGCAATGAAAAGCTTGGGTTCTGCCTAGGGCTAAGCTCTCTGCTCTGCCCTGTGGTGGTGGCAGGTTGGGCCGGGTTGCTCCTGGGCCATATGCTGGCAGAAACACCCGACTTTCCTCTGGCTCTCGGAGGAAAGCATTTCCTGTTTCCCGAGATAAACCCAGGCCTACAGCTCTGGGGGGCCACAGGTAGCCTGCTCAGCCACACCACTGTGGGGCTCATGGCACAGAGAGGGCACTGACAACCAAGGTGCAGACGATTGTTAACAAAGGGACCAGAAGCCCCCACTACTGCACACACGCTCTGCTTCCACGCACATACTGGAACTTCATGCTTTCGTCCTCCTATTAGGAGGCAAGGACAGAATCGTGGAGACAGACATAATCAAACGCTAAGGTACAGGGAAGGGGGTACACCCCATTCTTAGCAGGTAAATCCTCAAGTCAGCAAGCAAATCAAGTCTTGCTACAGTAAGTTGGGTCTAGTGCCCACTTTGGTCACCCCAATGAGGAGCAAGGCCAGGAGTCTTCCCATGCTGAGCCACCATACCTGTCCACAGGCACACCTTTTCCTACATGCACCTTCATTGTCACACCAGGAAATGACAGTTCAAAGCACAGGGCACTGACGGCTCTGACCCTTCCTCCAGGGCCAGGCTGGTCACTCAAGCTCAAGAGAGTTACTACAGTGCAGCCCTGGGTTCCCACAGGCTTGGTATTTTAACTTAGATGGTAAAGAACCGGTCCTCACTTTCTTTTTATTTTGGCTCACAGTCTTACCAAACAACCAAACACACACGCAGGAAAGGAAATTATGTCCCATACACCCTGACAGGCACATCCCAATGACCTAAAATCTCCGCCAAGACTCCCTGTGCAAACTTTCAAAGAACAACACGAGCTGGGAACAAGATTGTAACACATGGCCCTTTGGAGGACATTCCAGATAAACTCATGACCCACCTGAGGTGAGGCCACAGCTGCTAGCTGGCAGAGAAGGGGGCTCCGGCGCCAGTCTAGGAGAAAATCCAATATCCTTCTTTAGATAAATCCTTAGGAGAAAATTCAGGAAAGTTCAGGAACCTTGTGTGGGTTAGATATCAGCACCCAACCTCCAGCAGCCCCCATCTGATATGGAACTAGCCCCACGGTCTCAAGGCCATGAACCCTGAGCTTCCGGCAGGGCTTCTGCCCATTCTTCCCCACAGGCCTTGGCCATGCCTGAGCCTGGACTTGGGACCGAGAGGAATGGGGAAGAGCAGGGCATCCCATGCTAGGACAGCTGTCAGCCCACCCTTCCCAAAGCCTGCCCTCGTCAAGATGGGGAAATTCAAGGCCATATTGGGTGGTATAAGAGAGATCTGTCCAAAGAAGCCAGCCAGGAGAACCGGCCGTCAGTGTGGGTGCAGCTCGCCCACACATTACCACAGACCAGTTCCCATCCCGGTCTCGGGGAAAAGGTCTATGCAGGAGACCGGAGCTCCCAACCCTGGGATTTGATCTCAGAAAGGACTACCCTCTCCCTGCTGCAAACTACACGGTTCCTATGGTCTGCTCACCTAACGGTCAAACCATGAGTCACCAATGAGGGAATGCACCCCCCACAGTAGGCCAGACACCAGATAGTAAATAACATTTTATTTCATTTACAGAGGGGCCTTGTGGCAACAAGGTTGCATGGGACAATAGCACCCAGGTGAACACATGGAAAGGCCATGGTAAGCACACAGATGAGCTTGGTGCAGCTGCCGGTGAGCGGGCTTGGGAGCCAGGAGAGGAAGACAGGAAGACATGGGCTTGAAAGTTTCTCTTTGCTTCCTGCCAGGATGGGACCGGCTCCCCCGCACACTCACAAGGCCACACGTGCCTTGCACACACAATGCGAGAGCAGCAAAGTTCCCACGGAAACGCAACAGTGAGTGCATGGAGAGTGGGATCCTTCCATGCCTGGCAGTGATGTCACCCATAGGGCCCTCCCCCGCTGCTTCATCCACTCTACCAATGCTGCTCTTGCTCTCCTTCTGCTCACGTCTGCCCGGTCCTGGGTCCTCAGCCCTGGAGAGCCCATGGTGATCTGCAGTTCCTGAGCGTGACGGTGGCATTTGGGTGCTGTCCCAGGCTAGTGCACGGGTGCCAGGGTCAGCGGGAGCCTTCCTGAGGCCAGGAGCTACAGCAGCTTGACGTAATTCTGTGGAATCAGCCCTCTCTTGCCGTTCAGGGTCCCTTCCAGCCAGCCAGGTTCCCTTGAGGTCTGAACTGAAAAAGAACAGACACCATTATTTACAACACTCACCATGCAGCCGTGTTTCCTGCTGGCTCAACCATGGAGCAGCCAGTGAAGAGCAGGATCCCTCCTGGAGCCCTGGGTAACAAAGCTGCCGTGGGGTTACTGATGACTTCTGCCCAGGATTGGTAGGCACAAAGCTCACCCATCTAGTCCCCCAGCTTCCCGTCTTGCTCCTTCTAGTACACTGTGCACCAAGTTGCTCGATAAACACCAGAGAACACAGAGCCGAGCACACTTTCCCCCGCTTCACGTCAAAATCAAGCTTACTGGTCCAGGGCTCACAGGGCCCTTCCCACCAGTCCAGCAGTGCCTCGAGCCCCGTACCCTATCAGCCGGTTCACCAACAGGGGCTGCACGGCCTTAGTGCCTACAGTACTTGCTGCCCAGAACCTTTCCCACTTCTTCAAGGGGTAGCTCTTCCACTGCAGATTCAGGACGGCTTCTCCTTAAGTGAGTTCTGCTCCAACCTTTCCAGCCACCACAGAAGCAGTCACACACGGATCTCACTCCCACACTGGATGGGGAGCACCTGCTGGCAGGCCTGGATCTTACACAGCTGAGCACAGTGCCCAGTGCAATCCAAGTGTCAATGCACGCTTGTGACGGTCACATGACAAGGGTCACACTGGATACCAAAAGACAGAAGGCTCAAGCCAGGACACTAGCGTTTTGGTATCAAGGGACCCAAGCTGAAGCACCCATTATAGCTGGGGGCAGTAGCCACATACCTTGTGAGGAGGGGGGCAGTACCTGTCCACAAAACCACCCAGAAACCAGCTGTGAAACGCAGCTTTGGATCACAACCACTGGAATTACCTTCTACTAAAGACTGAGTGTAGGTACACACACTGTGCCATCTGCGAAGCAGTGTGTGCATGCCGCTCTCTTTATTCTATTGCTTTGTGACTGCCAGCTGCAATCGAGCAATTCACGACCCACTCATGTGTGGAGAACACTGGTGGTTCAATTCTAACTGTCCTTTTCAGTGAGGTCACCATTTGTTTTTCCCCTTGAAAGAGGTACTGTGCATTCTGCTATCTGCATCGCCCAGCCTTCCGATACTTTCTTCCATCTGCCAAACAGCTTTAGGCTTCTCCCTAGGTCCTGAATACACCCCAACCATGCCTGGGCAGGGCAGATTCACACTTCAGTGGAGGCTTTGCCCCGATTCCAGACCAGATGAGGGGCTTCACGCGCACACATTCCGTGTGCCTTAGAGTCCAGGAGAGAGCGAGACTCCTATTTGAGGCTACAGCTGAAAGCACAGCACACACGCATGAGAACTCACGCTCCCTGGCACCTGACTCAGTGTCTCGCACCATCATTTGTGCAATAAATGAGCAAATGAATCTAAGATGTGCTTTCAAGGTGAACCAGCAAGCAGCCATTCACTTTTATCCCCTTTACCCTATTCGTGTTACTAAGGGCACTATGTTGAAAGGCATCGTCCATACAGCACACTGGCAAGGCCACCAGTATATGGAGAAAGGACTGAACTCAGCACCAAAGCTGCTCCCCAGAATGTGCCACCTGCTGCACTATGGTGTCCTGAGTACCAGAGCTTGCCAAGGCTCGTCCGTGACAACTTCAGAAGATCTGTTCATTCTTTAATCCCGTCACCACCTCAGGGCAGGGCTAGCATTGGCAGGGACCACACTGCAGCTGCTCTGGCTGTCAGAAGATCCCAAAGGGTCTCCTGCGCTGGCAACTAAATGCTGCGTGGCAAGGCAGCTGTGCTTCCATTTTTATGGCAGGAGACACAGTGGCTCCATCTCCTCTCGCTCTCTATTGCCCTTTCCTATGGGCACATATGTTCTCTTGTGACCTCCATCCTTCTACGAGTCTGGATGCTCCATAAACACAGTCATCTGTTTCTCCCTTTGGTATTAGCTTATTTCACTGAGGATCTCTTCGGGTTCTATCACGCCCACGGGCCAGCCTAAACAGCTTGCTTACAGTCCCATCTAAGTACACACATTTTGTTTGTCCACTTACCTGCTCTTGGGCACTGAGTTCTTTCCACCTGTGGGCTCCTCGTGAGTATGGATGATGCTATCAACATCGGTATGCAAATACGAGACTCCCCGCCTTCCTCATTTTGAGTGCATTCTCAGAACTGGACTGTGGGTCACACCGGATTGCATTACTCTTGTTTTTTGTTTTTGGTTTTTTGGAGACAGGGTTTCTTTGTAGCTTTGGAGCCTGTCCTGGGACTAGCTCCTATAGACCAGGCTGGCCTCGAACTTACAGAGATCTGCCTGCATCTGTCTCCCGAGTGCTGGGATTAAAGGCGTGCACCACCACCGCCCAGGTACCACTACTCATGTTTTAAGTAGCCACAGTATTATCTTCCACACCGCTATCATCCTGATCCTGTTCCTAACTGCATAAGAGCCCCCGTTTCTCTACAACCTCACTAACGATGATTCCTTCCGTCTCCACCCTCCAGTGCTGGACCGTGTGTGAAGTGGTTTATCACTGCGCTTTTACTATCCCACCACTGACCGTCCAGGAGGCAGACTGCAGAACCAGCACCAATGCTTTCCGTAAAGCCACATCCATTACAGAATCAAGTCTTGGGCCTTTCTAGGCCACCCTAAGGTGAACTATATACTGTGGCAAACATTAAAATACTGAGGTTTCTGCGTAAGAAAATACTAGGAGCTCAGCCTCAGCCTAGGAAGCAAACACAGGCCCCATGAAAGCTGTGTCTGAGGATTCCCCTCTGTCTCCCACCTAACACACTTCCCTCTTCAGGGAGACCATGGGTTCAAACGTCACATTTCTCAGTCTCCTTCCTAAGCTTTAACTAAAATACCTTTGTTCCACAAGTCAATATCCCAACTTGCTTACTTCTGAGTTTAGCCAGCGTCACACTGCATGTCCTCATCTGGCACTGAACAGCATTCTGAGATTCCCATGTTAGGAACACATCTGGAAGGCCCTGCTGGGTAATGATGTCCACAAACCACCAGCCTCCCAGAGGATGCCAAACAGCATTTCAAGGATTAATCTATGTACTTAAACCTTAAAAGTCTAATCCCCACAGCCCTTGAAGGATTAATCTGGTCCATACCTGCTGCCCAAACAATAGAGACACTGCCCTACATGTGGAATCTAACCAACACATGGGCCCAGTGGGGCTGCCGGCCTCAACACAAAGAGTGGGCTAGTTCCCGCAAAGCCTGTGTTCATGGGCCCTATGGTCCTGTGAGCAGACGCAGGGGAAACCAGGCTTCATACCTGACTAGCAGAGATATCAACAAGTGCATCTGTGGGGGACGTTTCCTCTAGCTTTTAAAGGAACACTGGCTGCCCCGAGACCACATAAGCGAGCACAGACCTTCCTGGTAGAGCACAGAGACATCTCCCAGAGCTACAGAAACACATCTTCAGCCAAGGACTGGGATTCATAACCTAAGTCCACAGCCTCAGAGTAGGAGGAGAAAGAGAGCTGTTAGAGGCATACCTCCCCTTTCCCTTTCGCACACCGTCAGGATTCCTGTTCCTATTATTCCGAAGCTCTATGAATAGTGAAGCCCAGGGGTCATATCAGGCCACTAACTATCATAAACTGGGTTCTGTCCTTGCAAACACTACAAAAATGGATTATACTGTAGGATCCTTGTGATTGCTAGACTTCAGCAAGAGAGTGTTCCTGAAGACACTTCTGCAGGTTGAGCTGTGAACAGTGGCTACTTGGAATGCTGGCTGGCTCCAAAAAAGGTCTCATGATCTGCCTAACTGTCTCATGCTGGTTGTCAGAAAGACCCCACTACCGTTGGAAGGATGAACAAATGCTAAGCAAACACCTGATTTTTAACAAGTTGTGATGGAGGTGGGTCTTGTATCTTATCTGTTGTTTTCATTGGTTAACTAATAAAGAAACTACTTGGCCCTCTGATAGGGTAGAATTTAGTTAGGCGGAGTAAACAGAACAGAATGCTGGGAGAAAGAAGCCATGATTCCCCCACTCCAGACAGACGCAGGTTAAGATCTTTCCTGGTAAGCCAGCTCGTGGTGCTACACAGAATATTAGAAATGGGTTAGATCAATACATAAACATTAGCCCGAGGTGAACACGCCCCCCATTGGGCGGAGTTTCCCCTACAAAGTTGAGAGATCAACTATTCACTGAAGATAAAAGTGCATATAATATTGTTTATATAGTATTTATTTATATGGTAGGGCTGTACCCTACTTAAGGGCTCCAACTTCCTATGCCCTTTTGGACCTGCCCCTAAAGAACAGCAAGTCGGCTGTGCCCACTCTGAAAACTTTCCACTGAGCTCACGTGCACCACAATGGGGCACTGGGGAGGCACCTGGAAGACACGGGGCTCATGGGAAATCCACATCTACATGTCAGGAGGGAGAGTGCCAGCAAACTGAGCAGACCTTTTTATGGAAGAGGCTAAGGAACTACTGAGATGCCCTGGGTGTCCAGTTAGCATGCCAGGCAGAGCTGGCCACCATGCCCAAGGGAGACATAACCTGGCTAGATGCAACCATACCTGCAGCACACTGTGATGGGCCCTGTGGGGCACAGAGGCATCAGAATGTCCCCCAAGTGTCTACAGTATTCAGAGCTCAGCCTTCTGAAGCTCACTGCATCACCCTGATACATACTTGCAGACTAGGATGAGAAACCTGATACACAGAACAGTTTCCACTGAAGGGTTAAGGCACCGCAACCTGCTGTTAGCCCGTGTGTGTGTGCCAGGGTGTGTGTTAGGAATGCTCATCTCTATATACACATTTTATGGCACTTTTTAAAAAAGTCATCAAGAGACTTTGGTGGTAGAGAACTTGGGCTGCCAGAGTTGTCTACTTCCTGGCCACTATGTACCCAATTGGTTCTCACTGACCTATGTCCTCAGAGTGACAACTATAGAGAGAATATTTGACCCAGTTTTGGCCAAAGAGATGTAAAGGCAGTTAAACCCAGAAGTAAGTTCTGAAAAACTGTTCTCATAAAAGAAATGCAAAAAGCTAGAATTATGTGTGGCCTGGACCTGTGACCGCTTCTCACCCAGAGGGAACCCCCTCTGCTAGAGTTACATGTGGCCTGGACCTGTGACAGCTTCTCACTCTACAAGGACACCAGGCAAAGACCCAAGTCTTCAGCTCAGAATGCTCAGCAGACAAAGGGATACTCTGGTCTTGATGACACCGTTTCATACCCCGAATAGCCGCTTACAGTCTCCGCAGGTACGTCAGGGCTCTTTGGACTTAGCCAGTCATTCTGCTTCTCATTCACAGCTGAGGGCATCCTCACAGACCCACCTCTACGGCAGTAGTTCTCTCGCCAGCAGATCTATGCGAGGAACCGCGGAGGCTCCTACACGCACTTAGGTGACATCACAATTTCATTACTACCGTGTACCTCCTGTCATGTGCCTCCAGCACCATGCACGCTCTCTGACGGCTGGGTGTGCATGTGTCGTGGTGCTGTGTGAGGGCACTGCTGTTGTTTCCTGATATTATCAGGAATCTGGCTCCAGGAGCACACCCCACACACAGAATCTATTCTAAATGAAGCAACTTGCTTTCTATACCGCAATCCTCACCAAATGTTGCACTTCTGACTACCACAATGCACTATGGCGATATGTTCTGTAAACTCCAAACATTCTGGCTAATCAGCCATTCCATCCTAGCAGCCAAGGTTTCCCCTGCTTCCTAGAAACTCTTTTGGGGAGCTCCACCCACACGCAACATCACTGTTTCCACAGCAACCAATGAATTCCATAATGAGTGTGACTAGGGAGGGAAGAAATCAAGAGCAAGGGAGGAAAATATATTCACTGAGCCAGAAGAGAAATTTGTGAAATATTAAAACAGGCATAGGTCCTAAATGTCTGTGTATGAATATTAAACATTCAACTAAAATCCACACCCTTATTTAAAATGCAAAGTCTAAAGATGCGCACACTTTTCCAGCTGGCAGGAGACCGCAAAGCCCGAGAACCGCACAGAGAGAGAAGTCACAGTGTCTGGATTCCCAGCTCCTCACTGGAAGACGAAGCTTTTCAGAGCTAGTGCCATCACACAGCTCCTGGAGTTCAGGTCTGGAGTTGGTGAAGTCATCTCTACAGACCAGTGGCAGAGCACGGCCACCGACAGTGGCTGGCACTCTATGCGCAGGCAGTAAAGATGTCTCCACCACAAAGCCCTTGCCGGCACTTACCATCCTCAAAAATGGCTCCGATTTCAAACGACAGTTCCGAGCTGTGTTCCGCCTCACATGGGTACACTGCGCGGGCCTTGCGATTGGTCACACTGCAGAGAGAACACAGAAGGCTTGAATGAAGAGCTGCAGACAGAATCCTCACGGCCCCTCCACATCTCCCACATCTCATTCACACCCCAACAGTGGGGTAGTATATTCTGAAGAGATAACAGGGACGTGAACATCAGGCAGAGATGTGGCACTTGGCTTCCAAGTAGATGATGGGTTTCCACTACAAACCTTTCCGTGGAAGCCTCCCTGGGAAGCTGTCAGTGAGCCACTTCACCAGACTCCCCTCGTTGCCTGGTGGGATCCCAGTGCTCAGCACTGTAGCTGCACAAGGCGTGGTTACCGCTGAGTATGTCAGCCGTGCACCAGCCAAGTGCAGGAAAGAGGTACACGCGCATTAAGCTGGCTCCCAGCACGTCCGTGTGTGCTGCCTACAGTTCCCCAGCACACTGGAAGGAGCTGCCATCCCTGCTTAGGCCATCTGTCCCCCAAAGGCACACAAGGCTCAGCCTCTCCTAACTTGTGAGAACATGTTCTGAGCCCTTCTGAGAGGCGTGCACAACGGGAAATGATGGAAGTCATACTTGGTCAGATCCGAGCCAAGGAAGGAAGAGAGAAATTCCACATGCCTGCAGACAGAAGTCTCTGATAGTAAGAACTATGCCAGCCGATGCCCAGGCAGACTGACTCGTTAAGGTCTTCTGCAAACTGGTCATAAGATGCCCAGAGAAGGTAACAAAGAATGTGCTTTACATCTGCAAATAAAAATTCTCCCAAAGCACCTAACTTCATAAATCAATAAGAAGGACCGAAAAGGCAGAGCAGGTTCCAATAAGGCTCGTCCACTACAAATTATTCTCAAGAACTTGCAATTGGCCATGCATAGCCAACAGGTTCCATTTCTACAGATTCAACCTTCACTGACTAAAAGTATTTCCAAAAACAAAAAGAAAACATGCATCTGTACTGTGTATCACATTCAGGCTTTCCTCTCATGCCTTTCTAAACAAAACAGTGTAGAAAAGGTTTGCACAGTGTTTACATCATTAGATATTAAAATGTATCTACAGATGACTTCAAATATCCAGAAAGATGAGTGTAGGTCAGATGTAAATACTGCACCTGCTTCTGAGATGCGGCCCAGCCCTGATGGGGGCTTAGTTAACAATGCCAAGGGGTGCAGGCAGGAATTCTCTAACAGAGGGCTGTCAAAGCCCTTCTTTGTATCACACCCAATTCCACAGCACACTTCAAACCACGTACCATTCAGGCAGCTTGTCTACAATGGAGGCAGCAGGAGAGAGGGGGAAATGGGACATCCTTGTTGAAGGAGGTGTACCGGCTGCATTGGAGCTTGGTGTGGTCGGAGACTGCAGATTTAGCCACTGCACCATAGACGACTGGGTCTGGCTTGGCCTAAGGATACAGGTGAAGGGCAGGATTAATACCGTGAGCACTGATAACAGGCCAAATCCAATGGCCAGATGCCAGCACCCTGTCCTGTCTGTATCCTCCCAGGACTATACCACAAGCCACTCCAAAAGGAGCCACATCTCAAACTGAGACACTTCACTGAGCTTCTGTCTGTGGGGAGTCTGATCCTGTCAAGCCCAGGGTCATTTCCAGTGTCCTGGCTGGTTTCCACCCACCAGGCTTTGTTTCACTTCCTGCCTTCAGGTTCCTGCTTTGAGTTTCTGTCCTGACTTCCATTCCATGCTGAACTCCAGCTGAATTTGGAACAAACCCTTTCCTTTCCAAGAAGAATCTAAGCCAACCAGTTCACTAATTAGAAAGCTAATGCTCAGAGTAGTGACGTGGACTTCTCAGAGGCAGGTGCTGAGAAAGCCACCGAAGCTGGAAATACTGTAAACTGAGACTGTATCTAATGCACGCACACACCTGAGGGATCACATCCTGCCTGGAGCTGTCATTCACTGCTACTCACCTATGGCCAGAGAAGATGAGAAGGCAAAACCTATTTCTACTGAACGGATATCCATTCCACAGCTTCCTAAGTTGAGACTTTGTGTGTCGGAAACGTGCTCTAACTCATTTCTACTTATAGGGAAAGTCACACAAACTTAAACACCAAGCACACAGCCCGCAGCTGACAGAGACCAACACACAGCACTCTGAAACAGAAAGGTCCTTCTGCTGGTTTTATATGTGGAAATTTAGAAAACTCTGCTACTAACAGTCAAGATTCCTCCAGAAAGAGCAAACGAATAGAGTGTAAAGGAGAAATGAATGAACCACAATCAGTCTTTGGTGTTTGAGTCATTCCTTAGAATTTAAAATTTAAAGAGATGGCTCAGAGGTTAAGAACACTGGCCGTTCTTCCAGAGGACCTGGGTTCAATTCTCAGCATCCACATGGTGGCTCACAATCAATTGTCACTCAATAACTGGGGATCCAACACCCTCTTCTAGTCTGCCCAGGCACAGTCTTTGGTGTTTGAGTCATTCCTTAGAATTTAAAATTTAAAGAGATGGCTCAGAGGTTAAGAACACTGGCCATTCTTCCGGAGGACCTGGGTTCAATTCTCAGCATCCACATGGTGGCTCACAATCAACTGTCACTCAGTAACTGGGGATCCAACACCCTCTTCTAGTCTCCCCAGGCACACATGCAGTGCACAGACACACAAGCAGGCAAGACACCCACATGCATTAAAAATAAAATCAAAATCTTGAAAAGAGGCCAGTTAGCAGACTCCTGGACGGCGCTTATCTTAGCCTGTTTCCATCACCATGACAAACACCACAATGAAAACAATGTGTGCGTGTGTGTGGGGAGGGGGGGGGTCAGGGCAGGAACTGAGGCAGGAGCTGAAGCTACTCACTGGCTTGCTCCCCACAGCTCACTGGGCTTGCTTTTTACACAACCCAGGACCATCTGACCAGTGCTGATATTGCCCACAGTGAGCTGTGTCCTCCCACAAAAATCGCTGATCAAGAAATTGCCCAGGGACTTGCCCACAGGTCAATCTGACGGAGCTATTCTCAGCTGAGGTTCCCTCTTCCCAGGTGGACCTAGCCTATGTCAAGTTAATAAAAATTTATCAGTGTGGGCCCTTGAATTACTCCTCAGTTACCTCAGATTTGGAGATTTGCAGCTACAGTATATAAAGCCTTTTTTTCAACTCCTTCCTTTTCTTCTTCTTCCTCCTCCTCCTACTTCTTCTTCTCTCCCTCCCCTCTTCCCCCTCCCCCCAATACAGGGTCCCTGTATCCCTGGCTGGCCTAGAAATTAGAGATTTACTACCAACCACCCCAGCAATAAGCATCCGGAAAGCACACTCCTATCCACCCGTCCATCTTTCTCTGCGGTGCCTGTGGCACATGCTCAGGAAGTACTCTGCAAGCAAGCCCCGACCACTACACACACACATGCACACATGTTATTTCCAGCACACACATGTTCACCTTGACAATGCTCAAACCAGTTTCAGCAGGTTGCTCGCTTGTCCTTCTACACGGGGGCACTGCCTCGCACTCTTCTACATCAGAACTCCTTCTGCCATTTCCCTTCCATACAGCTCCCGGCTGCCCCTTTGTCGATGCTCCCTTCACTGAGAAAACACTGTCCCAGCCCTTTGTCCCAGTCAGTCACACTCGGTGAGAGCAGTCCTGAGAAGAGGCTCTCCAGTGCCCGCAGCCTCCCTAGCCTCCCTGTCTCCAGTCTGCAGGGGAGGCCGGGGATCTCTGAAGGCCTGTCACCACAATAAACAGGAGGGCAGGCTGGGATTAGTAGCTTTACGATGCTGTCAGCTGTTCTCTTGTCGATAAGACGCCAGGCACGCAAAGCTTCCACCCACATTCTGAACCCATGGAGCTAAAAAGCAATGCACTTTAGCACTGACTCCAACACGCGCTCCATGGCTGCCTCGAAAGATACTTGATAACTGGCTTCACTAGAAGTAAGATTCTAAGAGAACCTATTTATAAAACGCATAACCTGCCCACTTGGGGAGTCAAAAAACCTGCTTCCGCAAGAGACTTATAAATCTTAGTGACCTAAACCACCGTGCTACAAAAGACACTAAATTCTTAGAAGAAAATAAACCTCTAATGGCGTCTTACTAATCAGGAAGGGAGAAGGGCGGGTCAGCGAGGGTCTCACGGAGAACTTAAGGCCGCAGTCAGCCAACAACTGCCATGTAATCTCACAGCAAGTATTCAAGGTGCCTTGAGTGGTGTGCAGTGGTGGCTGAAGATGAGATGCTGCACCATCCCCCATCACATCTGCCAGACAGAGGTGGTGAACGGGTGCGGCGGGGGAGGAGGAGGAGGGGGAGGGGGAGGAGGAGGAGGAGG